TTGAAAATTCGACATAGTTTTCAATTTGGTCCAAACTCCTCAAATCCAAATATTTTAACCCAAATTCCATTTTTTTTCGTTAATATGATATGCAGGGATACTACTTCTGGGACCTCCGCCGAAAACCAAATCAAACCATCAACTACCCACCAAAATTTCAATAACAAAACCAGTAAAGAAAGTCTTAAAGTTGGCCGGGCCGACTTTATGATACCCTACACCACTTTGCTAATTTAGTATGGGAGAATTCAATCATACACGCTATGATTATAATTATAATTTAAAGTTCAAAGAACTAAATATGCCGAAGCATTTGTATCTTTTAAATTCGGACTTGTATTGCCCATTTGGTGCACAATTAATTTGAAATCCAAATCGGAACCGATCTCGATAAAATTTGGCAAAGATATTTCTGAGCTGTGTTTGATATATTTCCCAGAATATCGTGGGCTGTGGGTAACAAATATGACAAATCGGATATATGGGAGCTATAGCTATATCTAAACCGATCTTACCAAATTGGACATACTAGCTTCTAGACTCAATTCGGTCGTATGTGCCAATGTGTTTCATCCAATTTGGCCAAATATTAGACGTTTGGTGCACAATCAGAGGTAAATCGGAGGAAGTTATATATGGGAGCCATATCCAAATCTGAAACGATCTCGATAAAATTTAGCAAATGTATTTCTGAGCTGCATTTGATATATTTCCCTAAATATTGTTGTTACAGGGTGCATATTACGGCTGCGGAGAACAAAAATAGCAAATCGGATGAACAAAATATATGGGAGCTATAGCTATATCTGAACCGATTTCGATGAAATTTGGCATACTTATTTTCAGGTCCAATCTGATCGTACGTGCAAAATTCTATTCGGACTGATATTACACGTTTGGTGCACAATAAAAGGCAAATCGGACCAAGATATATATGGGAGCTATGTCTAAATTTTGGCCGATTATCTCTAATTTCAATAGGGTTCGTCCTTGGGCCAAATAAATGATTTGTGCAAAATTTCATCTGGATAGGACAATAAATTCGAACTGTACTTTGTTTACAAAAATACATGGACAGACGGACGGACGGACATGCATAAATCGACTCAGAATGTGATTCTATGCATATCATCAAAAGGAACTATGGGTCTATCTCGTTTCCTTTGGCCTGTTACAAACAAATGCACAAAGATATAATACCCTGACCACCTTGTGGTGTAGGGTATAAAAATGGGTTCACTAGCAAATCGTAATCCTAAACCATTATTTGTTCAAGGACATGTTACCAACTACATAGAAGTATAAAGATGGGACAAAACAGAATAAAACAAGTAAAAAAGCAGCTAAGTTCGACCGAGCCGAATTTTAAAACCCTCCACCATTTGGAAGGAACTTGAAAATTTTCAAAAAAACTTCCTGAAAGTACCACTTAAAAGAAAACTGTTATATGAAGACTATACCAAGACTTGGGTCTGCTTACGTAATTTTTTGTCATTGGCTGTAGTACCCATTACGGACTTCAAATACCAAATTTGAAACAATTCCGGTATATAATGTCGCTAAAATCATCAAAATACCGAATATAGGGAGGTACCGTTATATGGGGGATATACGAAAACTTGAACCTAAATACGATTCTTTTTTTTGTCATAGGCTACAGCCTATCCCATTACGAACTTTAAATACGAAATTTGTTACCGTTCCGGTGGATAATGTCGCACAAATCATGAAAATACCGAGTATTGCGAGGTACCGTCATATATACGAAGACGTGGACCTGCATACAAAAATTTCCATTAGGAAATAAAATACGAAATTTTAAATAATTCCGGTAAATAATGTCGCTAAAATCAAGAAATAACCGAATATCGGGAGGTACCGTTATATAGGCGCTATACGAAGACGTGGACCTGCATCCAAAAATATTTGTCATGGGCTGTAATACCTATTACGAACTTCAAATACGAAATTTGATTTAATTCCGGGAAATACTATCGCTAAAATCATGAAAATACCGAATATGCGGAGGTACCTTTATGTGGGGGCTATACGTAAACTTGGGTCGACATGGCCTATTTACGAACGTAACCTGCCCACTGGTAAACTATGCATGCATGCAAAATTCTATCTCAATTCATTCGAAAGATACCGTGATAACAACAGACGGACAGACAGATCTAGATCGTCTTAGAATTTTACGCTGGTCCAGAATATATGTACTTTGTATGGTCTATTATGAATATTTCGAGGAGTTACAAACGGCATGACAAAGTTAATATACCCTCCATAGAATGGTGGAAGTTATAAAATATTGCCATCAGGTGAAAATAGCTCTATTTTCATGATATCATAGAAATATTAAATGAGTTAAGCCGCTAAAGCAATATGCAAGTAATTGGAAAGGTCTATGAAGTAGAATTTTGAAACCAAATTTCTGGATTATTCAAACTTTTATTTGTCATTCTTTTCTAAAATTGTGTTATATTTATATCGACATGCCTCTGTAATGAGCTGTTATTCTAGATAATATAGCCCCCATTTTTTCAGAATGCATTTTGGATAGTCTACCATTTTAGGCCTTTGATGTCACCAAAAATAAGACAAACTACTAGAACATAAAATTTGCCTTATTTGTATATCCTCCACCATATATAGTATGGAGTGTTTCGTTTGTAACTTATCGAAATAATAATTTTAGACCCAGGGTAAAATTCTAAGACGAGTTAGCCCTTTCCGTACGTCTGTTGTAAACGCTAGAGTCAAAAAGAATTAAGATAAAAATTTTGGACAGATCAGTCTCTTGTCTGCAGTCGGTCCAAGATGTCATATAGTCCCCATATACAGGTACCCCCGATATTTGGCATTTTGATGAGTGTAGCAAATTTTTTCAAAGGAATTGTCTGAAAAAGAAGTTCTTTCTAAGTACTTTACTCCCTGGAAGAGAAATGTCCATGATATCGTATAGGCCTCATATAACGGTACCTCCCTATATTCGGTATTTTGGACGATTTCTACCGACATTGTTCACCTGTGTGGGTACTACAGTCTATGACAGAAATTGGTGGTAATTGGATCAGAAAATTGTCTATGCAGGTCCAGGTCTTCGTACACCCAGAGTGTAACAGTACCTCCTTATATTTGGTATTTTGAGGATTTTAGGATTTGAGGATTTCATTCACTTCCTATTTTTGGTATTTTCAAGATTTTAACAGAATTTTTACCCACCACCATAGTATAGAGGATATATTAAGTTTGTCATTCCGTTTGTAACACTTCGAAATATACATTTTAGACCCCACAAAGTATATATATTCTTGATCAGCATAAAATTCTATGTCGATTTACCAATGTCTGTCCGTCTGTCCATCTGAAGTTTGTAAAAGATACTACAGCATAAACCAGAAAATGGGCCATGTAGGTCCACGTCTTCGTATATCCCCCATGAAACGGTACCCCCGATATTAGGTATTTTGATGATTTTAGCGACATTATTTACCGGAATTGTTTCAAATTTGGTATTTGAAGTTCATATTAGATATTACAGCCTATGACAGAAAATTGTCTGTGCAGATCCACGTTTTATAACCACCTTGGCGCCTCCCTATATTCGGTATTTTGATGACTTTAGCTACATTAAAAACAGATAGATAGACCCTAATATAATAGCTACATTCGGTATTTTAAAGATTCTAACAGAAGTTTTAACGGATTTTATTGTTTTTGAGAATTGCCAAATTCGTTCCAAATGGTGGAGGGTATTCAAAGTTCGACCCAGCTTACAGCTTTTTTACTTGTTTTTATACCCTACACCACAAGGTGATCAGGGTATTGTCTTTGTGCATTTGTTTGTAACAGGCAAAAGGAAACGAGATAGACCCATAGTTCCTTTTGATGATGATTTGATGACATGATTTATGCATGTCAGTCCGTCTGTCCGTCCGTCTGTCCATGTATTCTTTTGAACAAAATGCAGGTCGCATTTATTATCCGGTTGAGATGAAAATTTCCAAACAACATTTGTTTGGCCCAAGGACGAACCCTATTGAAATTGGAGATAATCGGTAAAAATTTAGATATAGCTCCCATACATATTGTTCATCCGATTTGTTATTTTTGTCCTCCGCAGCCGTAATATGCACACTGTAACAACAATATTTGGGGAAATATATGAAATGCAGCTCAGAAATACCTTTGCTAAATTTTATCGAGATCGGTTCAGATTTCAAAATATAGCTCCCATATATAACTTCGTCCGATTTACCTTTTATTGTGCACCAAACGTCTAATATTTACCCAAATGGGATGAAATTTGGCATATACGACCGAAGCTAGTATGCCAAATTTGGTGAAGATCGGTTCAGATATAGCTATAGCTCCCATATATATTGTTCATCCGATTTGTTGTATTTGTTACCCACAGCCGTAGTATGCACTCCGTAACAACGATATTCAGGGAAATATATCAAATACGGCTCAGAAATATCTTTGCCAAATTTTATCGAGATCGGTTCAGATTTGGATGTAGCTTCCATATATATCTTTATCTGATTTCAAATTAATTTTGCACCAAATGCGCAATATAAGTCCGAATTTAAAAGATACAAATGCTTCATATTTAGTCCTTTTAATATTAAATTATATTTATAATTATGCCGTATATGATTGAATTCTCCCATAAAAACTTTTAATTGTTATGTGGAGCTCAACTAAATTAGCAAAGTGGTGTAGGGTATCATAAAATCGGCCCGCCCGACTTTAGGACTTTCTTTTCTGGTTATATAAGATAATATGTTCATATTTGCTCCAAATGGTGGAGTGTATTCAAAGTACGACCCGTCCGAACTTACTATTTATTTACTTATTAGAATGCATTTTCTTTCACTTTTGTTTTGTTCGCTTTGTTTTGCACTGAGAAAAATAACTTATTTTTCGTTGCGATTTTTTAAGGGAAACCCAAATATTTTTAATACAGACATTACATTTTATTGGTTTATTCCGATCTGTCGAAGTTACAGCTGTGGAACTATGTTTTTGAGAATTTGAGAATTTTGCACACAGTATGTCGACGCAGTTTTCTTTCATCCTGCAATTCGTTGAAAGAAGAATATATTTTACAAAAGAATGAATTGAGTCAGGATTTGTCACATTTGTATCAGCGTTGCCAAGATTACAATAATTATTAAAACTACTTACTAAAGACGAAAACAATTTGAGTTATGTCATAGTTAGGTATGTGCTCTTTTTTCATAAATTTGCGTTGTTAATGTTGTATTTATTGTTTTCTGTTAATCATTTTTTTCAGTCTTTGGCTTGACCACAAGAACACTTGTCAGTCATCGACATACCTTGAGGCGGTTAGACTTCCATTGAAGTCGATATATTATCATAGATTATTATGCGAGTATTTGGTAATGCGTACAAGTTGCAGTCGCATCAGCGACATCTAATCCTTTGGATTTTAAGAGATACCCAAATCATGCAGCAAATGTTGTTTGATAACTTCACCTTCCTCCTCGAGTTTTTGAGCGGTAATCGTATTGACGAGATTAAATGCAATTGCAAACAGAACAAATGACGCATAGACGCCAAAGGCCAGCCATCGTATTAAATTCGTTTGAGATTTGTGTTCGAAATTGATTAAGACTAAGAGGCCAATTGAGAAACCGGCCAGGGATCCAGTCAAATGGGCTATATACGACACTGATGGTATGAGATTCATTGCCTCTGCTGTGAGATATTTACTGTAGAACGCATAGCCAGTGTCGCAAAAAACTGAAAAGAATAACTCAACGTTAATTCGGTACATCACCTCTGGTGTGCTGCGAACTTCTTACCAAATATTAATACAGCCATTAGCTGAGAGGCGCCATAGCGCATTTGGCCAAAATTAATCATGACATTTGCCAGTTGAGCTGCCAGTAAGGCATAGACGCCACCGCTCGCTCCCACCAAATACACCACGGAATCAATGACACTGGTGCCCAGTGAGCCGGCTAGAACGCCGGCCATATAAATGACAGCAATACGTGCGGAGCCGTGTACCATCTCGAGCGGCAGTCCGTAGAGCAGCTGAACGATGACATTGAAAGCCAAATGAAAGCCATTTGCATGCAGTGTCATGTATGTGAAAAAGCGCCATATCTCTTGTCGGCGATCGGGTCGATAAATCAGCAGCGATTCACTCGGAATACTGGTGCTAATCAGTTCACTGTGCGGCTTCACTGTTGCGTAATCGTAAATAAAAACTCCAATCTGTAACGAAACGAACGAATTTGTATTTCTTAATGCGATCAATCAAAATGTTTACGTGTATAACTCTTTGAAGTCGATTAAAAATTCAATCACGCACCAAATGCTTTAGTTGATGCTACCGATAGAATTGCCTATTTCGTGTAACTTTTCTTGTTCAGGCGTCAATTACAGTCATAAAAAAAGAGTAAACAAAAATTACTTAAAACATTACATAACAATACATACCACATACACACACAATGTGGCCTAGGTTATAAAAAAACATGTCATTTTGTTAAGGTACTCACATAAGACTTTCATTACTTTAAGAGTTATTTTAACAGGCAAGAGTGGATATATGTATATCCACTTCCAAGTACAACTCGAAAATACCGCTTTACAGAGTCTTAAGGGACGCTCGTGTTACTATCCCATCAATAGAAAATGTGAACTTCAATATTTTCAAAATAGGGATTTGTTAGCTTTTCTCTTCTTAAAAATATGCTCCAATATATATTACTATTTTAAAACAAGTAAGCAAAGGCTATAGTCGTGCGGGCCCGACCATGTGATACCCTACAACACTACAATATGTTACAAGCCCCCCTATATCCAGATCGATTTTGGAAGATTTCGCTTTTGAAATTGTGTCACAAGACATCGACCAGACATTTGCCCAATATTTTAGCACTCCGTCATACTGTTAGTTGTTGTGGTCCATTTTCTATCCAAAATGCTAGAATCCTTCCCTGTCCTTAACTCTCTTCTCAGGCGTGTCGATTGGTTTCAATTGTGTGATCAGTATTTTTTTTTTGGTTTTTGGTTCAATTGAGCCCCTTAATATTTTGCGATCATCTCCAAAAGCAAGAGGCCCCTCTGTATCTCTAAATTTAGACTCATCTATATGGTCCATTTCAACCCCCAAATATATTGCGGACATCTTTAAAATAGGCCTAGCCCTTTTGAGCCTAACCCTACCAGTATGAAAATTTTCGTGAGGATTGGACGATAATTGCAATCGCTATATTATAATCCTAACCTGTGTTGTAAGGTGAAAAAATATTACAAAATATATACTTCAATATTATAAATCAAATAGAAAAAATAGCATGCGATAAAAAATATGAAGAAATAAAAAATGTCACAAAATACTACAAAACCTATGTTAACATCATTATTGACATCTTTCTATGCGATTTTTTTAGATTTTATACGTTTATGCCAAGAGGGCATTCTGAATTGACAAAATTTGTCAAAATCGGTCCAGCCATTCTTGATATATAAGCATTATAGCTAACATCCCCTTCCTTGGTATATACACATTGTATATATTTCGCTATATATATCCGATATATTAACTTTCGGCATCGACGTAACGGTCAGAATAGAACTGTTCGTCTGTTTGTGATTTCGTCAGGATTAAAAATATTCGCGGTTTAATGGAAAATATGACTTTTATTTAACACAAATGTTATGGTCTATTTCACCCACTAAATATTACCCGATGACCATCATAATGGGAAGACTTCTAGCCACCCCTAAGCTCTAGCTCCATGCTAACTTTCGCTTCGATTAGTCCATAATTGCGACCTGTAGAGCAACTGCAAAATCAGGATTTTTTTCGGTTTTTGGTCCATTTCAACCCCTAAATATTATGCGATCATCTCCAAAAGCAATAGGGTTCTATTCTGATCATAAACCCACCTCCATTTTCAATTTCGTGACAGACGGACGGACGGACATACATAGCTAGATCGACTCAGCTCGGCGAGATAGGAAGATCCATATATACTTTCCTATGTGGGAAATCAATATTTCGAGGTGTTACATAATTTTTGGCCCAATCAAACTTATCGACAACACATTGTGTTGTAGGGTATAAAAAATGTAGAGCTGGAATACAAGGATTAGAAATATGACTATGTGTATTATGTAAAAACCCTGTAATGAGGCAATCTTACGAAACGTTGCAATGTTGAAAGCATTTAAAGAAAAAACATTAAAATGGACTATAAATTGACATTTGGTTTCTTGATGGCTATCTGATGTTAAAATGGGGTCCAACACTTGATATAGCTCCCATAGAATCCTACCCCGATTCTAATTCTTTGAAGGTTTTTACTATATTAATTCTAATAGATGTTCCAAAAATTAATAAAAAAAATAAAAAAAACACAGATTTTTATGCAATTTCGGCTCTTTGGGCTCTGTGTACAATACAGCGTGAGATAAAACAAACTGCAACGAAGTCAAACGCCATAACTTTTACATTTTTTGAGATTTATTCGAATTGGTCACCTTTGGCACGAATTATGGCTCGAAAACCGCCAATGAAACCGTCACACGCTGCCCGAATGTTGCTTTGCGGTATTTTGGCCCATTCCCGGCGATGAACTTGCTTGAGGTGATCGACACTTTGGTATTTTTTATTGCCGACCTTGCTTTCCAAAATACTCCAGACACAATAGCCCAACGGATTAATATCCGGAGATTTTGTTGGTCATTGTGCGCTGGAAATGAAGCGAGGACCTTCATTTTGTAAACATTCTTGGGTGGCGCGTGCTGAGTGCGATTGTGCTGAGTCCTATTGTAATGTCCAAGGTCTGCGGCCAAAATGTTTGCGTGCCCAAGCGGAGAGCGACCATCGGCTGTTATGGCCGGCGCTTGAGTTCTGGTGGCCAACCGAAGGTGCACATTTTCAGTTGACCTCTTTGGCAAGTAAACACAATCTTTTTGTTTGTTTACAAACTACTGGACATCGAATGTTTTCTCATCGGAGGAAACTAAATTCGGCAGTTCACCACTTTTGGCCAAATGAAGCTACACTTTAGCTCTTTTAAGTCTATTTTCTTTCTGTTGCTGTGTAAGTTCTTGCACTTTTTGGAATTTCAATGGCTTTACCCCGAGCTCATTTTTCATCATTTGTCGAATGGAATATTGCGATATGTTCAGCTAACGAGCCATTTTTCGGCCACTGCGACGGGGATTTCAATATATATGGGAGCTATAACTATATCTGAACCGATTTTGATAACATTTGGCATACCTTTTTTCAGGTCTAATCTGGTCGAATGTGCAAAAATCCCTACTATTTGGGCTAATATTACACATTTGGTGCACAATAAAAAGCAAATCGGACGAAGATATATATGGGAGCTATATCTAAATTTAGACCGAGCAATAAATGCGGCCTGTACTTTGTTTACAAAAATACATGGACAGACGGACGGGCGGATATGCATAAATCGACTCAGTATCCGATTCTATGCAGATCATCAAAAGGAGCTATGGGTCTTTCTCGTTTCTTTTTGCCTGTTACAAACAAATGCACAAAGACATAAGACCCTGACCACCTTGTGGTGTAGGGTATAAATGTATTTTGATTTTCATTATGATTATGCAAAATGTTGACCCTTTATGGATGATGTACCGAAGGAGTGGACCAATATTATCCACTTCTCATCTGAATTAACACTGATATAATATTATAACGTGCCCGGCTTGGACTATGTCCATTACTTTCTTCAATTTATTGTGATTTGGAAAATGTTAAAAAATAGGGGAAGTGTAATGTTACGATAAATTAATGCATGCGAACTACCCTTGTATTGATCACCTGTAGCTAGGCTAAGTAGATCAGCTGATTAACAGCTGTAGTTTTAAGGATTGTTATTGTTATTTTTAAGGATATATTAAGAAAACAAAATCTAGGATTAAGTACCGTTATGTTTTATATATAAGGACGATGAAATTGAAAATAAAGTTCAGAAGTTACAAAGAGCCTAACCCGTCTTGAAGACTTCTGTAAAAATAAAAAAATCAAAAAGCTCTTTTTATTGAGCTGGAAATCGCTGGCAACTAGTTGTGCCTTGGAAAAATTTAAAAAAACATATTTTTCTACCAAGTGGCGTTTGTAAGCGCCGGCAAACAAATTGAGACTGGTCCTAATTCTCCACCAACATACACTTACATGTCTACACAAAAACAACAACAGGTAACAGGCCAACATTACAGAGTTACCAGATATAGTGGACCAAAGTAATCCATTTCATCTAATACTGTTAAAAATATTGAGATTTGCAAATTTAAAAAAAAAATCAGACTCTGTTAATATTTTTTGGGAATAACTGTTAACCATTACTTGAACCTTTTGTGGGGGAGTTACGAGAAGAAATGATCAAATAAATTCCATATTCACATCATATCTCTGGTTAAGAAAAATATGTTGATATAACAAGTTCGAAGGATGGAATCGGATCATCATTTCACGTTTTACGAATTTCATGGCTATTCAACATTTTGATCCGTTGTGGGGGAGGTACCAGAAAGAGTGGACCGATATATCCTACCGTCACATCAGATCTTTTGTCAATAAAAATATTGGTATGTGTGAAATTTGAAGACAATCGGACAATTATTTCACATTTTATAAGAATTATAATTATTCAAAATGTTGACCCTTTGTGCGGGACGTACCAGAAGGCTTTTAGTAACCCTATTCACCGGAAATATATCAACTTTAGTATTTTTAAAGCTCCTAATGAGTACTATGCAGGTCCAGGTCTTCGTATTGCCTCCATATAATGGTACCTCCCTGTATTCGGTATTTTCATGATTTTAGCAGAATTTTTGAATATATATATATATATATATATATATATATATATATATATATATATATATATATATATATATATATATATATATATATATATATATATATATATATATATATAATTTTTTTGTTGAAGATTTGAAAATTCCTTCCAAATAGTTCCACTTTTTATTGTTTTTGCCCTTATCTATCGATAAATAACATTGTTTGACCTTTTAGTTCTTTTCTTAACCTAAAAATGTGAAATCTCAAACTGTGTTTTTACCAATCTGAATCCTGTTTCCTATGGTAGTTCGTAAAAAATATTCTGACCTGCGAACACAGCGATATTTTTAATTGCTAAATTTAAAATTAGTTATATAAATAAAGTTTCCTCATCTGTTAAAGTTGGCGTCGTTTAACATTC